CAATACAACGAGTATTTCAATTGGAAACGCGATTACGAGCTCACAGGCAATCATTACTCGTGTCAGATATGCCAAAAACTCAACGATCCCACCGAACCCGTGAAGGTATGGCACCAATTGGAGCGCTGGTGGGTAGACGAGGCCCAGTGCAAGACATGGATGCCATCCAAGTATATCCGATAACCGTTGAGTTTGATATTTTACATCAAACATATCAATAGATGAGTACGGATACAGAGTATGTCTTTCACGCCTTTGAGCGTTATTTTGAGTTATAAGTTATAACTGCCTTTCAATTACATATCATTATTGCCGTTATTGTCTACTATTTTATATTTTAATGTAATTCACTTCTCCGTCGCCAACTCATTGACTATACACTTATACATCAACTAATTTATGCATTTTCTCCCCATAAGTATTGCATTGATTGTAAACTTATTTCCGATACTTTAATATGTATTGTAATGCAAAGTTTCAATTCATTGTAACGAATATTCATTTATTTTTACCATAAAATCTATTAATAAATTAAAGATTCAATTTTAAGCTTAAAAACAATATTTAATGAAATGATTGAAATGTTGTGTAAAAATAAATTATTTAGCGATAGGATTGGCATGAATTGTCACATCCGTGAGACGCGTGTCTTTCAATGGCTTAAAGTTCTTGGGATTGACCGCCAGTTTCTCCAACTCGTCCAACGTCTCGATGCCATCGATTACTCTACGAGAAGATCATAAAACGGATTCAAATGTCTGGTCACATACACTGCGGACATGTATACCGTAGTCGTAAACATACTTTCCAAATGTGGTGTACTTGAGGTCGAGGTGTGTCTGTTTGGCGTATGTGATGAAGAACTGGGAGCCGTTAGTGTTGGGCCCGTTGTTGGCCATCGAGACGATGCCGCGACCGGTGTGTCTGAGGTCGCTGTGGATCTCGTCGTCAAACTTATTGCCCCAAATACTGTTGCCTCCCTTCCCGGTGCCGGTCGGGTCACCCGTCTGGACCATAAAGCCCTTTATGTTGCGGTGAAATAGGCATCCCTTGTAGTAATCGGTGGCACATAAGGCCAAGAAGTTCTGCACCCGAGTTGTCAAAGCAAATGATAATTAAGTAAAATATTTGTCAAATAATTTTGAAATGAAAATAAATGATCAAAACTTATGGCCAGACTTCGCAAGTCTTGGGACACTTCTCGCAGAACAGTTCCAGTTTGATGTC